TCACCATCCTTAATCATCAGAGAAATGCAAATTAAAACTACTTTGAGATATCACCTAACTCCAGTAAGATTAGCCCATATCCTTAAATCCCAAAACCAGAGATGCTGGCGTGGATGTGGAGAAAAGGGAACACTCCTGCACTGCTGGTGGGAATGTAAACTAGTAAAATTATGTCTTTAAATTAACAAATAATAATTCTACAGATTCCTGGGTACACAGCAATGTTTCGATGTATGTAATGTATGGTGATCAGATTAGGGTAATTATAATGGTATATCCATATCTTCAAAACATTACTACTTTTTGTGTTGGGAACTTTCAATATCCTCCTGCTAGCTATTTAAGACTATATAATTTAATATTAATATTAACTGTCCTCATACTATAGTAGTTTAGAACACTAGGACTTATTTCTCCTATCTAGTTGTAATTTTGTACCCTTTAATTTCTTCCTTCTCCCTATTCTTCCCAGGCTCTAATACTCTTTGTTCTACTTTTAATTCTATGAGATAACCTTTTCTTTAGTTTCCAAAATATGAGTGAAAACATGGAACATTTAACTTTTTCTTCCTGGCTTATTTCACTTAACATAATGTCCTCCAGTTCCATTCATGTTGCTGCAAATGACAGAATTTCATTCTTGTTTATGGCTGAATAATATATTCCGTAGTGTAAATATACCACATTTTCTTTATCTATTCATCTGTCTTTGGATACTTGGGTTGATTTCAAATCTTGACTATTGTGAATCATTCTGCAATAACCAGGAGGATGCATGTTTCTCTTTGATATTTATTTCTTTTCTTTTGAATAAATTTCCAGTAGTAGAATTGCTGGATCATATGGTAGCTTTATTTTTCATTTTTTAAGACCCCAATAGCCAGAGCAATCTTGAACAGAAGAACAAATCTGGAGATATCACAACACCAGACCTCAAAATATTAGTAAAAAGGCGTATTAACCAAAGCAGCATGATACTGGCTTAAAACCAGACATGTGGATCAATGGAACAGAACATAGAACCCAGAAATTAACCTGCATATCCAAAGATAACTGATTTTTGAAAAAGATGCCAATAATAGTCACTGGGGGAAAAACAATCTCTTCAACAAATGGTACTGGGGAACTGGAGATCCCTATGCAGAAGAATAAAACTAAAACCCCACCTTTCACCCTATGCAAAAAATCAACTCAAAAATGGATAAAAGTCTTAAATGTAAGACCCAAAATGATAAAACTACTAGAAGAAAAAATATGGGAAAATTTTTGGACATTTGTCTTGGGAAAATATTTTATGAATAAGATCTCAAAAAATATAGGCAAGAAAAGCAAAAATAGACAAATGAGACTCTATCAAACTAAAAGCTTCTGCGCAGCAAAGGAAACAATCAACAACTTACAGAATGGGAAAGAATATTTTCAAACTGTTCATCTTACACAAGATTAATATCCAAAACATACAAGAAACTCAAAATTTCAACAGCAAAAAAACTAAACAATCTGATTAAAAAATAGGCAAATGATGAACAGATATTTCTCAAAAGAAGACATACAATGTTCACCAAATATATGCAACAATGTTCAACATTACTAATCCTCAGAAAAATGCAAATTAAAACCAAAATGAGGTATCATTTCACCCAAGTTACGATGGCAATAATCAAAAAGACCAAAAATAACAAATGTAGGCAAAGATGTGAAGAAAGGGCAACTCATACACTATTGGCAGGAATGCAAATTTACACAGCCTCAGTTCTCTTTATGATTTTTTTTTTTTTTACCAAATAAGCATTCTGTATTTGTCACAATGCCAGTATTTATTAATACTTACTATATGTAAAGGTAAGATTTTGAACGTATGGCATAAAAGCTTATGCCAAGGATACGTTAATACCTAACTTCTTTTAAATGATTTCTTTGGAAAGTTTTAAGAATGTAATTGTCAATGTGTTCATATTGAAATGAGAAAATCAGAGAATATTTTGATTTCCATTTTATTTTGAGAATATAAGTCCTATAATTACAAATTTTACCCTCTGGCCCTCTGTGGTATAGCATGCCCCCTTTGTCAAAAAATGTAAGTCAATGTCAATTCTTTTAGTGGCATTGACCTCTCTATGAGTCACTTCCATAAATTAAAAGTCCATGAATATTGTTTTAATAGAGTCATAAAATTAATAATATAAAACAGAACAGATTTGTTGAGCATTTACTGTGTACTAAGTCAGTGTTTTCAACCTTTTCTTATTTTACAGTACACTTGAACCTATAGTTAAACTTCTGCAGCACACATAAATTATATTGATCAAAAAAAGAGTAAAAAAAAGAATGTGCTGTGCAGCGCCTGTGGCTCAAAGGAGTAGGGCACTGCCGGAGGTGGTGGGTTCAAACCCAGCCCTGGCCAATAATTGAAAAAACAAACAAAAAAGACAAAGTACTTACTGTGCTTTGAACTTCTTTCAAAAATAATTTCATTAATGACTTTTAAAAATTGTCATGGCACACCTAATATCCTCTCATTCCATACCGTTGTGCCTTGACACGCTTGTTGAAAATCAGTGTATTAGGTGCTAGTATAAACTACACATGTATTTTCCTATTTAATACTCAAAACAACTCTGTGAGTTAGTGCTAATGTTGTGCCCATTTTACATATAAGGAAAATGAAGCACAAGTAGTTATGCAGATTTGATGATATTGCATAACTAGTAAGTGATGAAGTCAGGATTCAAATCACAGTTGGATCTAGAGGTCTACTCAAAGCAAACAAGCATGTATTGCATTTCAAAAGATTCCCCCTCTCCCAAGCCTCCCTTCTTAGTGTTTTGTATTCATAAACTGCTGATTCTTTCTTTTGGCCTGGGAAAATGGAATTTAATTTTTATGACATAATATACCATTTGCTGCTTGTCCAGTGCACAGAGATCTCACAGTCTAAAGAAATGGTGGGGACAGATAAAGCTTGCCTGATTATCCTGCATCTGAATTTCTTTCCTCTAAGGTAAGTGAGTACAATGGCCCAAAGAAGCATGAGAAAGAAAACAATGATTAACACTCTTCTAAGATAGCTGAAGTCAGTCTTCAAGGAAGTAAACGCGGACTTTAAGCCTCTTCTACATTCCAAGTCTTGACCTACTGACTCAAAAAGACAGAGCCAAATTATTATTATTTTTAAATTCTAAAACATACCTGTGTCGAGGCTGTAAACCATACAGTTCATGGTTAAATTGAACATTTAATTTATTCTCTGCCCATCTGTTGATTAAGAATAAAGGGCAAAATTCGCAGACAATAGAGTTAAAACGAGTAAAGAGGACGGTGTCCATGGGCATCCCATGATCCCAGACACGTTTCCAGATCCATGTACCCCGTCTTGTGCTCAGAAACACCTAGGAGAGAATGTACATATATTAAAAAGAACTGCCTCACAATATATTTCCTTTCATAGGTTGCTTTTCTCAGCTCTTCAGAGATCTCTTATTTGACACAAGAGGGGAAATAGATAAAAACTTTCTTGCCTTTTTAGCTTGAAATGTTCCTTCTTAAATTCAGGTAGACTGACAGATATGGTCATACACAGATACAAACACTCAACACATACAAACACACTACATATTATGTATAGGTCCAGAGATCTTCCCAAGCCTCCCTCTGGATCTTGTCAGCTAGCTCTTTGAGCCTTCTCCAAAGCAGTGTTTGATGTCTATAATCTTTTATGTTTTAAATTCTGGAAAAACAAAATAATGCAAAATATTTTGCAAAATAAAATCTTTTATGTATTAAATTCTGGAAAAACAAAAAGAAGACTTGACATCAACAAGTTGACACATAAGATTCTCTCCATTAATTATAACAGTAGTATCTGGAACACTTCATTAATTGTATCCTAAGAATCTAAATGTAGAAGGAGTCAGATTTGGGAGATGGTGTCAAGGATCATGTCCATGAAAAACAAAGAAATTTAGAAAATGGTTTTCAGCTATGCTCATTTCTGAGAAACTCTTGGCTGAACTGATGACACCTCCATACTCTTTGGTAAATAGAAACAATATGGCAATCACTAAAATTTGAAGTCCTTATTCTTATTCCATTTTCAATTTTTAAGTGCATTACCAAGATGTCTACCAAGGAAACAGTGCAAAGAAGTAATTATCAGGACTGTGTGTGCGTGTGTGTCTGTGTATGGGGGACACATTACACACATTTCACACAATGCTTGTATCTCACAGCAGTGGGCAGGTTTAACTGAGGGACAGAGAATTTTAGGAGCCAAATCTGTGAAGCTACATGGCTGAGCTCAATTGCCAAATCAACTCCAGAATTTCCAATGCCGACCACAATGATTTTCTTCTCTCGGAATTTCTCTGGACTCTTGTATTCCTTGCTATGGATGTATTGGCCTTTGAACCTCTTCATCCCTATGGGCAAGAGCAGAATTGCTTAGACCTTGGTCATTATTTTATTTATTTATTTTTTCAATTGCTGGCATATTTTAAAGCTTATTATCAAACTCAAAGACCATCCTATTTAAACATCTCATCTGCTGGACTGTTGGTGCCACTTCCATGGCATCATTTGGTGGAATGAAACCTCCCAGGTATTTGTTCAAAACCGTAAATTCAATGCCTAAGCAACCCCTAGGCTTCTGAGAACTTTAGATATCTCACTTCTGCCTCCTTTTTACTTTCTTTCCTTTTCTTTCTTTCTTTCTTTTTTTTTTTTTTTTGAGATAGTCTCACTTTGTCACCCTTGGTAGAGTGCTGTGGTGTCATAGCTCATAGCAACCTCAAACTCCTGGGCGCAAGTGATTGTCTTGCCTCAGCCTCCTTAGTAGCTGGGACTACAGGCATCTGCCACAATGCCTGGCTCCTTTTTACTTTCTATATCCTGCCAAGTCTTTAAGGCACAGACCTTGGCTCTGACTTAAGTATTACATCTTCCTTTTCCATCTTATTTTTCTGACCCAAGCTTCATCTTGTCTAGATACTTCCTTTGCTTCCTGGGACCAGAAGGCCCTTTGTGCCACTCTCATTCTGTTCTCCCATTGGGAATGCATGCTTCAGCATTACCCATAGGATCTGTGGGATGCAAGAACTTCTTATTTTTGCTTAAAAATGTTTCTCTTTGCACTACATTGTTTATTGCAGCTCAATTCACAATCATCAAGATGTGGAAACAACCTAAATGCCCATCAACCCAGGAATAGATTAACAACCTGTGGTATATGTATACTATTCAACCATAAAAAGATGGAGACTTTATAGAATGGAGTTGAAACCCATTCTTCTTAGTGAAATATCATAAGAGTGGAAAAGCATGTACCCAACGTACTCAATACTAATATGAAGCCAGTAGACGATCTAATACATGCCCACACAAGAGGAAAAACTCACTTCAATTCATTAGGAAAAAGGAGGATGAGGGAGGGGGAAGGGGTGAGAAGAGAGGGGGCTTCTTGTGCTTCCACTTAATGGGCACAGTTAAAGGTGTATGGCACACCTCCTAGGGGCAGGACACAATTACAAGAAGGACTCTTCCTAACAAATGCAAACTTAGTTGTTTATATCCTCACATTAATCTGAAATAACAATCTTTTTCTCTGATTTAAAGAAAACCTCACATAGCAAAGCCATAAAAGCTGATAGATTTTTAAGCATTTTATCAATTAAACAATATCAAGGTCTACGTATATGGGCTTCCTTTTCTGTGACACTGGGCAGGCCTACTCAGTCCTAATTGTGGTTCTGATTAACATCATTTTCCTTACCAAATCAGCTCTAGAACTTCAGTTTTCCCTTGGAAACAGTTCTTTCATCCTCACTTAGTAAACTTCTGGTAGGGATCTAATTGCTTTCAAATTCCATCTTTGTCAAGTTCAATTCTGTGGGCAGGACAGACTCTCTACCAGTTTTCTTACTGCAGCCATTTCAATTATTTCCCTCTCTCCTTGGCCTCACTGTGATCCTTCTCACTTTCTGAAAATAACTTTCCCCCTCTCATTTGCAGGAATCAACAAGACCTTATGTGAGTTCCTCAGCACCTAAAATTTAGTGTGTTTTCATCTTTCCCCCCTCTGCCTCATTTTTTAAAGGAGAAAATGTTTCTTATCTATTCCAAAATAAACCCATTTCCCTGTGAGTCAATGTAGGAAGAGGATTTCAGGTCAAACAAACCTAGGCATGAACCTTAGTTCTTTCTCCAGTAGTTACATTTGAAATGTGTAAAATGTAAATTATTTTGCCTACTGCATAGGAATCCCTCTATATGCTCCTATGACAATAAATTCTTGAAAAATAAGTTAATTCTCTTTTGAATGCTTTCAATTTCATCCCATTCTGTCCCTCTTTCAATGAGCATCTCTGGGGCCCACTGGTCTCCCCCATCTCTCCTTCATGCATGAGAAGTCTGCTCTTTTGATAGCTTTCCCAATCTCAGGGCATGGTGACTCCATTGCTCAGGTCAATGGCATTGGAGTTATCCAATACATCTCTCTTTTTGCCACATCTCATATCTAATCCATTAATAGATTTAGTCATCTCTACCTTAAAGCTAGATCCAGGACCCAGGAACTTCTGTCCCTACTGCTACTGCCCTCATCCATGCCACCATCATCTGTCACCAGGATTAGTGCCAGTGCATCCACACTGGTCTTCCAGCTTCCCTTATCATCCTTTTCTACAGCTGTTTTTTAACATAACAGCCAAAACAATGGGAGCATGCCAGTCCTGCTCATAATCTTCCAAAAGCTCCCATCTCACTTAGAGTTCAAAGTCAAAATCTGAAAAAGGACTTTAAGGCTTTCATTGATCAGGTTTCCCATTTACTCTTGGATAACATCTTCTTTCTGCTCTTTACTCCAGATGCACTGAACCTATCAGGCATCCTTCCACCTCAGGACCTTTGTACGTGCTGTTCTTTAAGCACAGCGTGCTTTCCACAGATATTGCATCATGTTCTAGGGCCCTGTGGGCATTTACTCAAATGTCCCTTTCTCACTGAACCCTGGCTGGACACCTTATCTAATCTTGCAACACAAACCCCTACTGTTAACTCTCCTTCTCCATTCTCTGCTAAATGTTTCTCTTTAATAATTATTACCTCTGACACATTTATCCCATTTGTGCCTTTCTCCATCTATTTCCATACTCCACAAGGACAGAAGTTTGTCTGCTTTTTCTCTGCTGACCCTCTGCACATAGTTTGTTGCTCAACAGACACTTGTTGAATTAATATTGAATAAATAATATAGGAACATTTAAAACTCTAAATAAAATATAGACCTCTCTTGACCACTTGTAACCTTTTCTATCTTCTTATACACTGGGAAACAGAGATACTCATAGCAATGGAAATGAGGGAAGTCCTGCATTTTCTGAGAATCCCCAAAGAGTCTAAGTGTTAGTCAAAAAGCCTGAGGATGCATCCTGCAGGGAGACCTGGTGCTAGTCATTCCCCTGCTCCATTCCTTACATGCAGGGTGCTTAAGCTTCCAATTAATAGTCAATAGCACTGAAGTCTATTTTAAGATCCCTGATGACAGTAGCACATGGCTATCTATTTTTGTCAGGATGTGTATATCTGTGCATATTCAGAGATAAACCTAAAATCCTAAAATAAACCTAAATCCTAAAATGTTTTCTGTACTTTGATCTTCCTACTTACTCCAAACTATTACTGACAGAAAACAACCTTCCAATTGCAATATAAACATAGGACTTTGCTCTTAAAATAGCCTGGAAGTAGTGGTAATGGGATATTAGTGTTATAATAATTATTGTCAATTTTATAACATTATGTACGATTTGAATGGACATTTGACAAGTCTGCATTACTTTACAATCAGAAAAAGGCAATATTTATTGTTAAAAGAAGATGATGTTCAGAAGATGTGTTTTGAAAGTAACAACAGCAACAATTATAAACGCCCACAAAACCTGTACCTTAGCATTCTGAATGACATACCTGGAAAATTCTCTAGTGGCAAGGAGGGATGGGTGAAAAGGCCAGTACACACCATAACCCCATCAAAGACGTAGGATCTCTGCTTCCCTTCGGTCTCGACCACAACATCCCACTGTCCCGTGCAAGAGAAGTCTGAGCGCTTCTTCACACTGCACACCTTTGTCTGGGAATGAGAACAGACTCAGACTTATGAGCATTCTGCTCAGTTGTCCTTTCCAAGGACTCTTGGCCTTAACGAATTAGGTTGGTCATAGCTATTACTTTCCTCTGGGATTTCATGAAAGCGTCCCCTTAGAATTGATTTCCCTACCAAAGCCTCTTTAAATGGAGCCATAGTCTGGTTTGTTCCCAACCGTGGTTCCAAATATAGATAGGGGTGCATCAATACCAGGGGCCTTAATCTGGTTTGGACGTTTGGCTCCTCCAAATATCCCATTGAAATTTGGTCCCCAGTATTGGAGGCAGGGCCTGGTGGGAGGTGTTTGGGTCATGGGGTAGATCCTTTGTAAATGTCCTAATGCCCTCCTTTCAATAATAAGTGAGTTCTCTCACTTTATTATTAGTTCACACAAGAGCTGGTTGTTTAAAGAAGGCTGGCCCCACCTCCTTCTCATCTTGCTTCTTTTCCAGCCCTGGGACATGCCTGCTCCCCCTGTGCCTTCCCCCTTTACTAAAGACTCCCTGAAATCCTCACAAGAAACAGATACAGGTGCCATGCTTGTGTGGTCTGCAGAACCATGATCCAAATAAACCTCTTTTCTTTATAAATTACCAGCCTCAGGTATTTCCTTTCTGGCGATACAAAATGGACTAACTCAGGGTCCAATCTGGTATTTCAGCCAGCCCACCATGCTCTTTTCTGGAAGGAAGTGAGGACAAAAGCTCTTGCTGACTGCACTGAAGGTGTATGTCAAGTGAACCCTGTGGTGTTGGGGTCACCCCTGGGTGGAACAGAGGCATCACTGTACTCTGCTCTGGCCTGTCTCTCTGCTCTGCCAAGAAGGGCCCACGACAGTGGCCTCTGCTTCACTTACCAGAAACTGAATGTGCTTCATAAGGTGAAAGTGTTTGACGTACATCCTGAGATACTCCATGATTTTGGAATTGTGCAAGTAGTTAGGAAAGTGGTCAGAGAAAGGGTAATCACTATAGGCCATCATCTCCTTTGAAGTGTTGCTGGTAACAGATTTATAGATACTTGGTCTATCATGTTCAATCTTCTCCTGCAAGAGAAAAAGGGTATGTATTGCCTTGTAGAATATAGGAAGAACGGTTAAAAAAGAAATCTCTTCATATGTCAAATCATGCAGCTCCTGGGCTGAATTCTTTCCAAAATAGTCAATTTCCCATTGACTTCACTAAGAGACAAGGTACCATTAAGTTGTTAAGAAGAGAATAAGAATTTGGTTGAGGAGCAGACAGAGGACATGAAAAGAAAATGGGAAAACTATAGAGAGGGAAATGTATAGAGACGACCAGAGAGTGAAAATAAGCAGAGGGAGATGAGGGCAGCCTCTCTGTCCACAGAGCTCAGTAGGGGCTCAAGTTCTGGACTGAAGACTGGCAGGCAAGAGTGGGGACGAGGACATCCAGGAGGTCCTGGGCTGTTTGTAGTCACTGAGAGGAAAGAATAAAGATCGTAAGTAGATTAGGCTTTCTTTTTCTCTTTTTATTAAACTGGTAATTTTTTAAATTCTGAGAGCAGCACATCATATTTATTATAATTTTAGTAATTATAGAATTTATAATTATAGAAAGTACAGTGACTATCATTCATGCTGATCACTTTAAATACTTTCATGTATCCCTTCTAGTCTTAGTCTCTCAATCTTTCAGGCTAGCTCTCTGCATATCACCTGCTTACCTGTATATTAACACGTAGAGACAGATACATGATGTTTTACCACTTTATGATACTTTATAATTTTAGAGTTTTTCACATACATTTCCTAATTAATTTTCCAAGTATAGTAGGAGTCCGTACAACATACAGTATCTGTTATGTGAGTTAGTGGCCCTTCTTGATTTTTTTTTAAAAATTAAGGCTGGATAACTAAGTAATTTAAGGCTAAGAAAAAACACACCACCACAACAGATATTCTTCTCCTGGAAGAATTGATTACAATCCCAAATATATTACATTAAGAGATGTACATGTAAAGCACAATTTCCAGAATTTTGATATTTTTTTGCCTGCAATGTATGTGTGTAAGGTAGCAGTCGACTCAGTCAGGTCACAAAGCCAGATGTAGAGCAATAGCGAAAGTTTATTTGGTGCCTCCGTGAAGGCAGGCTAAGGCTATACAGGCATCAGCCCCAAAGAGCAAGAGTGCTTATCTTTTAAAGGTTTTTCGGTAGGGCAGGAGGGGGA